GCGTGAGAAAGTAGCGCGTACTAGTCCTCTCTCATGATTAAAGTATTAATAAAGGAATTATTTTCTATCACTACAGACCGGAGCAGAATAGAACTTTTGCAGCCTTAACAAACGGACGGTTGAACTCCCTCCTCATGAAAGCATTCTTGTCACTTGCAGTTTCTGCACGTTGCAAATTACACTTTTTTTAATGGTTCTCCTCTTGGGCTGCCGTGTGCACGATTAATTCTCCTCTCTCCTCATCGCCCTCCTTCAGTCCCCGACCCGCCCTCTCTCCTCCGCGCCTCCTCCTCCTCCTCCTCGTTATTTACTGGGCCGCTGGTGTGCCTCACGCTCTCTATATAGGGCCCCACTTTGCAGTTCCCTGCCTATCAGAGAGCTTGTGTGTGTTTATCTATAAAAAAACACCCCCCCACCCTCCTCTCTCCTGCTAGCTGAAAGCGTAGACAGCGTCCCTCTCCTTCAGCGCAGAGGCTAAGTCTACTATCATGCTAATGCCCATGTCCTGAGACTAATAGGTCCTTTTACACTGGCGGTTTTCATTCCTCTTGCCTCACTAAAGGGTTTAGTGCCAAGGCCCTTTCTCTCCTTCCTAAACTTTTTAAGAGGATAAATATTTCTGTGATTCTTCCGACTGGACGATGTGTTTGGAGACCATTCTTTGCATAATTGGATCCAGTGGCCTTACGTACGCTTTGCAAAAAAAATCGCACAATTAAAAAATGCTGATGGAAAAAAAAATGTAATGAAAAAATAGTGTTGTGCTGTGCAATTACAGTAGGTGTCTGTACATGTGTGTGTGTTGGTTTAGGAGAATGTAGGTGTGGTTATGTTTAAGTCCTGGTTGCTCCCTATAGATTTAAATGTGGCAGTAATTCAAAGTTGTAAAATGCCTGTTCATTTATTACCCCAAGGCAATTATCCTCATAGACGGTAATGTAAATAGAAGTCATGAGGGGGTATTTTTTATCTCCTGTATTCTTTGTGTAGTTTATTTAGACCAGTGTTTTTCAACCTTTTTTGCGTCAAGGCACACTTAAGACACTGAAAAAATCTCAGGGCACACCAACAACCGGAAACGATATGAAAACCAATCCCAAACATAGTTTCAGCATGAGCATAATATACTCTAAGAAATCAGGGAAACGCGTGTTCTATTTGTTGTGTTTTATTAAACTTAACATCATCCTAATGCCAAGATGGCACAGGCTTTATGCACAGGTATCTCTTAAGCCGGATTTATGCTTCTGCGTTGTCCCTTGCGTCGCTTTTCACACCTCCTTGCGTCCTTGCGTGTGTCGAGCCAAAGCGACGCAGCCTCCCGCAGCGCACCAGGCTGCGATTGGTCCGCTAACTACGTCCTTTACGGAGTCTCACATTTCCGCTTTCATAGCCCGATACCGCCATTATTAACACGAAGAATGTTTACGAGAGAACGGAGCAGATTGAAGAACTTTTGTCGGAAGAAATGCGTAAATATGACCGCGTATACAAGCCGTCATTGGCGGGTTGTAGAAGCGGGTTGGATTCACGGAGGGAGATCGCCGCAGACGCCGGTTTGCCGGTCGAGAGGAACAAAGTTGTGGAGGAAAATACGGGACAAATGTGTCCTTGATGAAAAGCAGCAGTGGCGATGCACGGGGCAATAACGTCTATGATAAATAAATAGACGTGACTCTCTAAGTCGTCTTCAACAAAACACGTCACCATGCTTGTTGTTCTGGCGGTGAATTGCTCTGCAACACACGCAGAACCATGAAGTGAAACGAGTGCGACGACGCAGAAACATGAATTGAAACGACGCAGAAACATGCGCCGACCTTAAATCTCACTTTTTTAAATTGTCGCCTCAGCAAATCTTCCTATTAATTACGCTGCGTAGCGCCACCCAGAGGCAGAGGGGAGTATTGAGCCTTCATACCACTAACAGCGCGACGACACACACACAAACACACAAGTTGGCTTTTTTTTTCACCAATGAAGTGACAGTATGTAAAAAATGTTTTTTTTACGGCACACCTGACAGCCTTGTCGAGAGGCTGGTTGAAAAACACTGATTTAGAGGACTACTTTAGCTGGTGTGCCGGCCGAGAACACACGAGAGACTGAGTCAGGTGGATCCAAGTGCTGCAGCTCAGTATTGTACAATATCGTCTAATCTCTCCAGCACATCGTTCCCTCGATGTTACCTTTGACAGAAGAAGGATAGCGGAAGTTCACAAGTTCACCAAAGTAAAACTGGATGCAAAAGATTTGCTCCCTCTGCAAGTGAACCAACGATTCGGTTAATTGATTTCCCGATGGCAGTTTTCCATATTTAAAATATGATATTACCTCTTGCCTGTTCACACAACGTCGGATGCATCTTTTGGTAAGAGTTCAGAGTTTGATGTTCTAACCAAGATTGTAGTTTCTAATGATGTAAAATATGTCGGCTAAATACACTGAGTATGAAACTATTGCAAATTTACTGCCACATCTAAATTGTTTCGCAAACTACAGCTAACGTTTTGCATTTCATGTGGACAACAACGGCGCTTCCATCGCCTCACCTCGACAGATTATATTGCTGTTTTTGATCAAACGACTGTGTGCTGTTTTAACAACTCACCCTCGACACTGGAATTGTTACGGCTTGCCAGTGTTTATATTGGCATCAAGCAGGAAGAAGGAGTCAGAAATACTGGTGTGTTGTTGGTGTGACGCTCCGGTGGTCGCCACCCCAGACTCAAGATTTCCATAGGGACTTAATCACTTTTATTGTTGCGTAACAACCTGGCTGTGGAGAATCGGGGAGGATTTGAAAATCAACCAGTGCTGTTTTTTCTCGGCATTCGAACAAACGCATTCACAGTGTGAGTTGTGATTTTTTATACGTCACAGTTACGGAAAAGGACTGAACTTCTAGGAAAATATCATGACAGTTGGGAGGCGTGATGCATGAACTTATTTACAGTCAAAACAATATGATCTTTTTATATACATTATGTATTTATACTTATATAGAAGTCGGTTGTCGGTTAAGGGCTATATTTTAGCGTGGGATATGGCAGACAGGTCTGCTCACGTCTCAAACACAGGTCTGCACACGGCAGAGGATGAAAGTAGCCTGCAGCGAGGATGGATTTTACTCAGTGAGCTGAAGGGAGATCATAAAGCATGAAAAATATTTATACGGTTTTTTTCCCAGAGTCCCTGAAGTTAAACTTTCTGTCTGGTTACGTTTGCTCTGTAGAGTATAACCTCCAAGTTGTGTCCACCGCGTTCTGAACTCATGTGACGCTCGGGCTCAGCCCATGTCCCGCTCCACTTACCTGCACTGTCAGATGGTGTAAGTCCTTCGTACCTCTCTGTCTGGTCCTTTTATTCTCTGACGGAGGAATGTATGCCGCGCAGTACCGATGGCAAAAGGACGAGCCGATGCATTCTGACAGCCCCGCAAGCACAAGAAATGGCTGCTGGATATGGAATGCCGTTTTAGTCAAAATTAAATAAATGAATAAATACATGAAGTGTGCATTTGAAATACATCATGAAATAAATAAATGAGGCAATAAATACATAAATATTAAATACATTTAATTATTTTATGGTACTTTTATTTTATAATGCCACTTTTCATTTCATGGTATTTTATTTCATGATGCCACTTTTCATTTCCAGAGTCTTTTATTTCATAATGCCGTTTTTCATTTCCAGAGACTTATTTCATAATTCCTTTACATTTCACGTTCTTATATGCAAATCAGGGGGCGTGGCTACATCTAACATTCAGAACAGAACAGATGGCTCAGAGCCCTGTGCAAAAGAAGGCACAATCTCCTCTGAATCGTGCTGGATGACACACCAAACAGATCCACGATTTCTCGGGTTGATAGACCGGACAACACAAAGTTAGCCAGCTTGTCGCCAGGAATATCCAGAGGCGGGCGTCCAGCACCTGTGCTTGTAGTACCAGCGCTAATGTTGACTTCATCAACTTGGACCTCTTGAGGACACGCATGCGGTGCTCAATCAGTCTTAAACAATTTAAAACTTCGTCGTCTATGTATACATCTTGAAGAGCACTTATCCGCCCTAGTATTTCCAAAAAACCCTCAATATGTGTCAAAATCGTATCTGCAGAAAACCCATGTTGATCGATTTGATCTGCTAATGCTAGCATGCTCCCTCGGAGCCCACAGATGTCTTCCATTATATCAACACTCACGTCCCTTAGCCAGCCTTCTTTTGCACACGGCTCTGTTGTCTGTTCTGAATGTTAGATGTAGCCACGCCCCCATGATTTGCATATAAGAACGTGAAATAAAAAACAGTATTATGAAATAAAGACTCTGGAAATGAAAAGTGGCATTATGAAATAAAAGTGCCATGAAATGAAAAGTGGCATTATGAAATAAAAGTACCAAGAAAAGAAAAGTGGCATTATGAAATAAAAGTACCATGAAATAATTAAATGTATTTAATATTATGTATTTATTGCCTCATTCATTTATTTCA